CAGTGCAGTTATTATGCTATTACTTTTGTTTTTCCAGCAATGAGTATTGCCTTTAAAACACGCCCTCTATGCTAGCCATTAAAGTTTCTGTCACGTTTGTAAGACCTGAGTGATCTGCTATAAACGGTTTAATTTTCGCTGCTGGAAATGTTCACGATTTGATGGAATTCGTCACAATGGAGACAAAATCACTGAAAATAGTTCACAGCTGAAACAATTTAGCGATTTTTAAAAGCAATTATCTGCATAAAAAATATGTATGTGTATCTACTGTGCAAATTGCATTGCAGTAAGACGAGTGAGCGACATGCCGTACCACAAATGGAAATCGCTTCAATTAATTTTGTCATCACTGTTTTTTTAAGAGAAAGAAATTAGATTTAGGTCATCTTTGATTTCTAGAACCGTTCCCCCGGGAGTTTAACTTTGTTATCTTTCTCACTGCAGGTATTTTAGACTGTAAATCGGAAGTTTAGTTATCTAAATCGTGTCCTCGTAATGTTAAACTTTTGAAAGAAATAATTCCAGCACAGTTTGCATTCTTCTATGTTTTTCATTTTTTGTACTTTCTTACTCAAATTTGAACCAAACGAATGCAACTTTGAATTGGCTGTATGCCTGTGAGTAGCCTGAAATGTAGGCGTGAGTGGGGTCCACGCCAGCAGACCACGGAGGGCGCAACTTACGCGACCTTGTCAGGCTAGCCAGTAAGTTGTAAAATATCATTCAAATTGGATTTTGTCGGTCACTAGAACTTCGTATTTGCACAACAAAACACACTTCAAACAAACAACCTTGAATACACCCATCACAAAGACTCGGTGACCCTTAGGTGACTCCAAACTTGTTTACCTGTGGCTGTGGTACGTATACATTCAGATGCAGACAGTCTTCGTTCTGTATTTTGTCAATGGGAACCATTGGGATGTCTGGCTGTATGCACGCAGTACGAAAGTCGCTAGCATCGTACTCCCCTTGCCACGGTGTCTTGGGTTTAGGCGGTGCAAACCTCAGGTCACCGACCGGTGGTTCAGCGTACGGTATACCCCTATAGACATGTACAGTCCGTGCACCGTCAACGAATTCACTGCTGAATTCTTCTACGGTACCGATTAGTGTACCGGTAGAGATCTCTACAGTTGGTATGTCTGCATTACAGACAGTGTTAAACACAAATACAGCTAAGGTGTATGACAACGGAGACATGACTTAGAGTCCGAACGACTGTTAAATGGTAGCCTCGTTCTCAACAGTTGATTTGAACTTTACTGTGCTATTATATCAACTTTCCAAATTAAATGCATTGTCACCGGCAAGGTCATTGCCATTGCGTGGTCATACATTTCAAAGGTGCTGGTTATACAGTCGGCCAGTCGGTGAAACAAATACAGAGGTTCCATTTCGACCTTCAAAGCACTTCGGTCACTCACTCGTTGCACTGCACACAATCAAAGTCGCGTGAAATGTCCTGTTCTGTATAAGAGGACAGTAGGTCTTTTCAAGAGAGGGTCCGACATTTCCGCTGTTAAAAATCACCTTTAAAAGGCGCTTTATAAACAAGGGTGACCAAAATCAAATTGAACCAAGCGACTAACATTGGATCTTATCTATTATTGAAGATCTAATATTTCTTTAAAACCGTTTTAACATAAAATTTTAGTCTCATAAAACACTATGTATGATCACAATAACTAACGTTTTCGCTGAAACTTTTAATATTGAATTATTCTTTCCAGGAAACCGATTTGATTATAGATTTTATTTAAACTTGATAAATGCTTAATAGGTAAAATACCTCTTTTCATGAAGGTATATAATAATAGTATTGCATGAAATTAAAATAACAAACAAATACATGAATATATTCATTTGATTGTAGTATTATTTTTAAATACATTAGACAGTTTTTAGTTACTTGCCTTCATTGGTTAATCTATGAAAACCATGAAACGATTATTACTATATTTGCTAACAAGACATGAGTTTAAAAAAAATAACATTCTGTGTCCATCAAAGTGTTATATTAACAAATAATAAACATGCCCCAAAATACTTGCTATCGGTATTACATTCTAATTATACTTGTATACAAGTATATGTTTTTTTTTAAATGTACCTATTCACCTTTTAATTTATTTTACGAGACTAGAGTGATTTATTTACCAAATACTCGCCTTTCTAAGTTTCTAGCCACTGAGATGAATTATTAATATTATTTGTGTTTTTACTAGACTTTCTAGTAACAATTCTGTGAAAATATCAGTGTTGGAATGGTCTCAATGTGTTATTTCGTACGTAGCATCCTTGACTGTAGCAATATTTACGCCACTGTACCAAAGAGTTTATTTTTAATAAATACACAATCAGCTGGCGAACACTGAAGTGACAATACAATAACTGGATATTTACTCTATGAATGGCGTCATGTTGAATACAACATGGAACTAAATAAAGAGAGCTTCTTTATTTAGTTAGTTTCATGTCGTATTCATGACGGCCCCGTATAGTAAACATC